TACATGTATCATTAAAAACTGAACCATTGGATAATGCAATTCTAGAGCTTTGATTTGCTTAGCCATCATTGTACAGCCATTATACCAAATATGTACAGGTCCAAATATTTATGGTAACTGTATGCGTCTGCTAAAAATTAAAAACAAGTTGCAAAAATTGGTTGTGTTTACAAATAAAGAAAGGAAGAATTCTCAATAATTTTTGTGGGCATTTTTTTATAAAAAAAAATTATATATTCCACTTGTGCTTGTTGGATATTTAACTATTACTCCTCGAGCCGGAATATGGGCTCTGAGTCAATAGCCCATAAGACTGAAGGCCGAATGGGCTATTGACTCAGAGGCCATGAGGGTGAGACGAATAATAATTATTGTTTAGTAAACTCCAACTAGTTGGTCAAAGATTTCGAGACTAAAAAAAAATTAAGCTGGTTAAAGCTAGACTTTAATCCTTTTTTGCCGCCAAAAAGCCTGCGCTTTTCGCTACTAGTGGGCTATAACATAGTAATAGCTCAACCAATCAGAACGCAGCATTGATAATAGACCACTAGTTGGATTTTACTAAGAAATGATTATAGCCAACTCAGTGCTACATGTCTTGTTGGCGAAATTGTATCGACCATCTCATATCCAATGCACACTCGTGGAATAATTGTTAAGTATTCAAAGGTTTTACACATACATACACACACTGTACAGTGGGAAGGGAGACAAGATTATTTTTGGAATTTTGTCTGTTTTCCAAAGATCCGTCATTCTCTACAATTTTCTTTTCTTAGTTAGCCCAAATATTATAATCATAAGATTGTTTTTTCATTGCGACTATAGTACCGTAACCAGGGCCACCTTCAGAAGCAAAGTTGACCAATCGGATGACAGGAAAATAATAATACATTCCAGAAAGCTGGTTGTGGGCTAATCAGCTGCTTGCAAAAAAAAAAACATTAAGTTTCTCGAAGCACAAAATTTAAATATTGACAGCAAGCGCTATTCAAGAAAGCAAAATGTTTCATCAGATAATGTTTTTCTCTTTTGAACAAAACTTTACATGTAACACTCAGGAGACGTAACTGTTTGCAACAAGCTTTGCAATAAACATGCAAAATCAACTTCAAAATGTGACTGACTCTTACATTTTTTGCCTTTGTGAACGCTCTGACAGACCTCTCAGGAAACAGGCTTTTTTCAGCAGGTTTGCAGGTTTTCTCCTTATCAGGTGGTAAACTGTAAAATTTATTGCTTGAAGCAGCACTTCTTTCCGCCTGCGACCGCTTGACATAAAGTGTTACTAAAATCAAATAAGTTGTTGAAAAAAATATGCAAGTAAAAAAGTAAACACAGCCATTTTCTTAGACTTTTTCAAAGCCCATTTCCGCTGACTGGTACCTTCCAAAGCACTGCATACTAACAATTTTTTTAATCGGCTTCTCTCTCAATTCTAGACTTTCTTGACTAGCAGGAAAAGCTTGCAGCTTCCGCGACTTGTGTTACTAAATTAACTCTTAAGCTGTAAAGGCAGCCTTCATTGGGCGTCTGGAAAAGCCAGAAACCGGAATTGGGAATAGGAACAGGAACCGTAATGGGAAGAGGAACCTCTATAAAAACAGCCGGACAACATAACATATTATTTATATCTTAATTTTCTTTAATTTGGATTTAACAATTCTTATTTTAGTATATGTGAAAAAATAATAAGGAAAAGAAGAGAACAGGAACCAGAACCGGAATAAGAAGGGGAATAAAAACAGTGCATAGAAATATGAAAAGAAAAAGATATAATCGTGATTTGAATTTAAAAAAAAACAGAGAAATAATGAAAGAAACAAGAAAACACTCTTGAAGTGTGAATCTAGTTAGCCTTTTTTATCTTAATAGCCTGTGGCACATTGTGTTTTTGGGACTGTCAATTACATACATTTGTAAAATTAGGAGGGAATGCAATCAGTTGAATTGTGCCCAGCGGTAGATGAAGTGTTGGCTCAGGCTGGGATGGGGATGGGAGCGAGGAGGTGTTAATACCCTTTTTAATCTGTAGACAGTCTATTCCTGGTCAACTTCCCAGGTTAGTTTAATACAATATATCTACATGTATGGAACAAACCTGAATTTTATGGCAACTCAATAAACCTCTCTGGTGGTTGTCCTGTTTACACAGGAGACAAAAGGAACCTTAAGATCTGACAACAGCAATGCCAGTGAAAGTGCCACTAAAAAATTGAATTTGGGTCCTTTCAAACTATTTCTCATTAATTCCAAATAACATTGGCCAGCCTTTAAAGGTTGGGAAATGAAGCTGGAGCTAAAGAGAGCGGACCTTCACGTCCGAGCTCAGACAGACACAATAAAATTTGTCACCCTGCGTTGATGTTCTCAAGAGAACTTAATATTTGATCATGATTTCACATCGTAGTTGTGCATAGACGGTGAAGAAACTGACAGAAAGCACAATGCGCATGCAAAACTGTTGCTTTACTTTGAAAGCTTGGTGCTTTTTGACCTTCTCGTTGCGGTAACCTTAATTCAGGTCCCTTATAAAACACGTATATAGAGAGATCAGGGGGAGGGCATCATCCCAGGCTGCATGTACTTTTCTTATTTTTCATATAAATTGAATTAGAATTAAAATAAATGAATGGTGTCCCTGTTCTTGTATAGGTTCCCCTTCACATTACTCTGGTTCTGTTTACGCTTCCTATGTTCCCATGCCCGTTCCTATTCTAGATTTTGTGGTTTCCTTCTTTTCTGGGCCCCCGCCTTTGTTAGCAAAATTTTTGTTTTGAGTGTTTAAAATACTTTGCAGTCAATTGGTTGACAGAAAGCTTGAAAGTAAAAGCCTTCATGGATGCAAAGCACCTCCTCCTGCCAGGAGATTATGCCTCTGACACATATTTTTGGTCTTTACCAGTCAGGAATAGTTCAGTACCTACTGAGCTAAAATTTAGGGAGAAGATTGGGTTTGAAAGGTCACGTTTGTAGGTTGTAAATGGTTGGTTTTGATCCATGTTGGTTATTTTGTTATGTGGGAATTATGATTGACAACTGCATTATATCTTTCTAAGAATGTATTGTTATTTTCCTGTCATCCAATTAGTCAACTTTGTCTAAGTGGCTCCGGTTATAGAAGTCACACTGTAATTCATTACTCTGCTGCATTCATGGAATTTACTCATTATACTGTACAAACTGGTGATGATTGAATGAGTGATGTTGGATACTCAAAATAATGAGCATATAACAGTGAAACAGACCAGAAAAAAAACATGCACACAAACTGTAAAGTTGACCAGAAAATGGAAATTCTGTTTCTACCTCCCAATTCACCAGATCAGTACAAATGTACTTCTAAACAATTTAAAATTCTTTGGGGTTTTTCCAGAAACTCTTCACACCTAAAAGAATCCTATGTGTATTATTAAAATTCATGTCCAATTGGAAGGTACATGTATTACTAAGTAAAAGGTAAAAGTGAACCTGCTGTGCCTTCTGTGCATGCATGCCCACACTTCAGAAGCCTTGATTAATTTTAGTGACACAAACAAAAGGCAGCAGTAAGTTTTTAATTATCTTTTAAACTTAACAGTTTTGGTAGTTTGGAATCTTTATTTTTGGCATACAGTGTATGACCAGAATTAGATGTAAATTGGCCTTTTTTGGGGAAAAAGTTTAGGGGCAAATGAGTTAAGAACCTCGTTTTTCCCTCAGTTGTTGGTTTTCACATGACGCTACGTTACTTTCACGATGCATTAGTGCAGCTGAAAACTAATTTTCATACAAATCTTCACTTCAAAAGGGTTCTTGGTGTTGTGATAGAGTACGCTTGAATTTCTAAGCTTCTTCGTGATGCGGCATTTGCATGACGACCAAGAGAGCCGTCATGGAGGTTAAAAAAATGACTTATTTCAGGAAATTTTGCTATCTAAACAGTTCATGTATTAGAAAAAGTATTTCTTTAATGTCTACGAGTTTCTCAAAGAATAAATTCAATAATACAGCACTCTTTTGTAGCAAAACTCGGTAACAGATGTTTCTGTTGGTTTCCGTCCGCCATGTTGGAGCTCATCCAGGTGAGCACTAGCATGGCATCTCCATACAAATCTCTATAAATTTGGGTAAAACATTTCTTCGGATATCTCATATATGAAATATTCCTCTGACCTGAATCTTGGCGAGGGCCTAATTGTATATGTACCTCCTTTCATTTCCCAGATTCTGGACTTTACCTATTTCATTTTGATCTGTTTTGAATGGCGTGACACTGAAAACCAGCAATAAGTGAACTTACACAACAGGAGGGCAAAGGAAAGAACACAGCAGCCTTCTGTGACAAGTGACCAAAATTTTGTTTAAAAAAAATAAATATTCCCTGTTAAATTTCACCTTCTTTTAAGCAGATCTTTTTTTAAACGATCTAAACACAGCGATATCATTATTTTACAGATGATGTCTAACCCGCAAGTAATAGCCCTGTCATGTTTGTCACACACAAACTTTTTGCCGTCCTCTTCTTTCTGCGCTCTTGTTGCATAAGCTCACTAACTTCTGGACGGTGACCCTTTATGAGATTGGTACAAGGGTATGGTTATTCTCTGAAACCACAGCTACAATTGTAGCTATTCACTACTCTCCTTTGGTGGTCAGAAATAAATAATTTTACCTTCCCCATCTCCACTAGTCTCCTTCGCAGCCATTATTAGGGTCGTCACGCAACGCTCCTCCCCACTAGTGGGGAGGAGCGTTGCGTGACGTCCCTAATAACGGCTGCAATGGAGACTATTTCTCCACCGGTCTGTATGTAGTTCTTTCTCAGTACACATGGTCAGTATGATATCGATCTGATACCCCTATTTTTTTCAGGGAATTCGCTGATACCATTCTCAAATATGAAGTAGACATTGGAAAACCAATTTCACAGGCTCTTCTGGATTCAATTTGCGCTCTTCTAAATTCAGGACATCAAAGTCACTGGCTGGCAAAACAACAAGAAAGTTACTCCTCTGAAAATGTTGGATGATTTTTGGTCCAACTTAGAAGAAAAATTGATTACAATGATAAAACCCAGTGTTTATGATGACGTTTTTGATCGTAAAATCAATGGTGATGAAATCTTCCTTTTTGTCAAAGCACCAAATCATTTGTGTACCGTAGAGTTCAATTTGTTTACACCTCTTGATGCCAAAAAGTTACCAGCAACATATGATAAAGTTTTAAAACTGTTAAAACAAAGGAAGAAGTCTACAAGTGTTCCACAGGTTCCTATCCAGAAACTTCCTGCCTTGCCTGAAAAGTTCATGTTCAATACAGTTCTTAAGTTCCATGAGTCAAAGCAAATTCAGTTGAAATATTACCCTTCAAATAATGGACTGTTGCACAACAATAACCGCACACAGCGAGACCAGATAAGAGAGTGGATCTCAGCATTTGGTAATGGAAGCGGTGGAATGATAGTTTTGGGGGTTGATGATAAAACTGGAAAGATTACAGGCCAGCTTTTGGAAGGAGACAGTAAAGACGAATTTGACGGAAAAGTTTCCTCCATTGTTAACAAAATGAGCCAAGCATGGTGCTTTATCCCCGAAAGAGGGGTTCATTGGGATCTTACGTTCTTTCCTGTTGAAGGCAAGGGGAGCAAATCAGCTTTGACAGTTGTTGTACTTTACATCGCGGGAATGCAGAACTTGGGAGGAATTTTTACAAAATGTCCAAGGAGCTGTGAGCTAAGACCTGGACTTGATGGGAAGGAAGAAGTTCATCAGCTTAATTTTAAGGATTGGAAGCAACAAATGCTATGTGCCACAGAAGATGAAAGTGAAGGTATTGAGTACAGTTCTGTTTAAATCTTTTTTTGTGTGTGATGTTGGTAAACATGTCAGTCAACTCTTGCTAAGACGGACACTTTTGGGACCCGAGCACTAACTCACATCCATCTTAGAGAGATTTTCTGTATTTGAATAGAGAGTCAAATGAAAGGACTCAAGAAAGGCAGGGACCAACTCTAGCTGCGGTGTCCATTTTACAGAGGTGGCCATTAGCGAGAGTGGACTGTATTTTTTCGGGAACTTGCATCATATTTTGGTGCTTTTCCAGCTGCGGTAACACCATTTTAAAATTAAAATCAGGGTTCTCAATAGATTTTTAAGTAGGAGATGATCACTGATAAAGTAGGAGGCTCTTCAGCAAAGCCAGAGGTGTCAAAACAAAGCAAAGAAAAGCGACTTAAACACAAAGTAAGCGGCTATAAATCCCAAAGTAAGCGGTGATCAATCACCGGGTGCCACCTTCTATTGAGAACCCTGTAAAATTCTGAGAGATTCTGCTTATTATTAAGATCTTATGATTAGCAGAATCTCTAACAACAGAGTTTTTGCAGCTCATGGAAAATAATTATTGGGAAATTTTTATAATATTGGTTATGCATTCTTTTGGTCCCAAAAGTTCTTTTATTGCTATCAATAATTACTTTTAAGCCTTAATTTCCTGTACAGCACAATGTACAAGCCAAGGAAAAGCAAGGCCAAAATCAGTGTGATGAAAACCATTGTTGTATGTAAACTAAATACAGCAATAATTCCTGAAAATAATAGTAAAAAAAAAACAGGAGTTAATATCTGATTTTCATTGTGGCAGGGCTAAAACATAATGCAGGTTACAGGTTTGTTTAGTGGCAATTCCTGGTTTCACTAGTCTAGAGTAAAATCTTCAACCAATTGATCAGATACGTTTCCTGGAAAACAACATCCTATTCTAGACCCTAACTCTCTGATTTATATTAACCCTATCCTAGAGTAAATGGCTTGCTAACCATACCCTTCACAGCGGCACATACATATATAGCCCATATATGGCAGTACACTACGGGTCAGGTTGCGGGTTACACGATAACTTTACAACTGCATAATACAACTTTGCGATCTGCATGATGCAAGTTAATTTTCAAGGTGAATTTTGTCAAGCACAATTTTATACTGACCAAGGACATGTACCACTTAACCAAACTGCCAGCTTTAGGCCAATTTTCTGACAAAACCAAACTCACTTGTCTTTGTATTCTCGGCTACCATACCGTATTTCCTCGAATAATAGATAGGGGGCGATTATTTCTTTATTTGCATCAGAAGGGGGCGATTATTTGAGGGAGGTGATTATTTCAAACATTGCTCATGGAAAGTCGTGTCCTAAATATTGTTTTACATCAAATACACAATCTGTGCTGAACATGGACTTTAACAGTGCTCCAGGACTGGTTCCTTGATTAATTTTCAGAGCTTGAATTGTTACTGATCAGTTTTGCCTGATCAGATTCCCCTTCAACTCAACAGAGAGGGGATAAAAGAAAGAGATGATGAGAGGGGTGGGGAGGGGGTGATAATTCTAGGGAAGCGATTATTTCAATATTTACATCAAAGGAGGGCGATTATTCGAGGGACGGCTATTCTTTGAGGAAATACAGTAATTTATGCCGGACCATTGATCATGTGATCGTGTCTACATGTAGTTATCTCT